CCCTCCAGCAACGACCAACTGTCTCCTGGACCCAGATGGACGAGGTAGTGGGTAATAGACAGGTAGGCACCTTGTGAACATGCACATCAAGCGCAGTCACACCTGGGATGTCAAACAACAGCCAATCATTCGAAATGCCGATATCGAATAAAGCAAACGCATATGACGACACAAATGCTCGCTAAATGAGCATACGGATGAAATTAGTTAAATGTGAATACGCAATAAGTACAAAATGTCCGAAAGTTATTTAAAAAATACCACGCGATAAAATTACGCAGGTTTAGCACAAGTTGCGTGAACGACGTGTGCAAGTAAGGAGAAGATTATCAAGTACGCGGAACAAACTAAATAACATGCAATGAATTTTATGCAAATTAAAACACTTAGTTTAAGTGTAAGTTCGTTTAGCCCAACTGCGGTGAAGAAGCATCAAGAATGCAACATCAGCCTCAGCAAGGGACTAAACCCACATACACTTAAACTAGGTCCTTTTAATGTGGATAAAATTCATCGCATGTTATTTGGTTTGTTCCGCGTACTTGATAATTTTCTCCTTACTTGCACACGTCGTTCACGCAACTTGTGGTAAACTTGCGAAATTTTATCGCGTGGTATTTTTTAAATAACTTTCGGACATTTTGTACTTATTGCGTATTCACATTTAACTAATTTCATCCGTATGCTCATTTAGCGAGCATTTGTGTCGTCATATGCGTTTGCTTTATTCGATATCGGCATTTCGAATGATTGGCTGTTGTTTGACATCCCAGGTGTGACTGCGCTTGATGTGCATGTTCACAAGGTGCCTACCTGTCTATTACCCACTACCTCGTCCATCTGGGTCCAGGAGACAGTTGGTCGTTGCTGGAGGGGACGGGATTCACGTTCCTTGTGGTCGTGCTAGGCTCGAAGAGTGGTTCCTAGAACTCAGTGTGGAACAGACTACGGTCCAGTCACCGCCTTGTGTGGGGTTGATTCCCCAAATACAGCGTGCTTGTGCTTGCATGTGAAGGAGTGTGAGCCGGCTCCGTTGATGAAACGTGGCTCTCATCCGCATGCCTCCCGGTCTCATTCCTTCGGGTTTACCCTGAATATGGGGTGTGTGGATGGAGCTGTGGGTGGTGCAGCGATGGTCATTCATGGTCCCTCTGTAGGCGCGGGCGTCCTGTGGATGGCCACAGTGACAGACAAATCCGACACCGGATGCCGCCAATCAGATATATATATATAAATATATATATATATACATATATATATATATATATATATATATATATATATATAAACACAGCCAATAATACAATCGGCATAATGCCACAACGTATGGAAAATACAAAAACCAGGGAGCGCCCTCCCCCCTTGCGTTGTTTCTTGCCCCACACTGAAGGTATATAAAAAAACGTCTAGACAATGTACTCATATATTTGCGTTACGCCAAATAATCCGCTATATCCGGGCGTCTGTCTAGCACTAAAAATTAACGTGCGCATGTTCATCGTCAACACTACTGGATATACCTAGCCCGTCGACCCAGGAAAGTTGCATGCGAGTATGCGTTGACATTTCCCTTATTTATTTTTCTCGCATATTTCGTATACTAAAACCACTCCCGATATTGCTTTCCGTGCGCACACTCAAGCCTCATTGCAAACTACCTTTATACATCACTGCAGTTAAAGCTGTATTTCCAGGTTTATTCAACCCTCCTGTTCTTGGCAACCCTATCCAAGTTCGAACCTCCCAAAGTGCATGGCTCAAAACCGGTCGCACACATTCCAATACCAACAACAAGGCTTTTATTGCACCCCGCTCGTTCTTTAAGCTGGTTATGTTCAATGTTCGAATGCCTATACAGGTTGGTTCACAAGCTGACCTTGCGCGCACCTTGGAAACGCTCTCAATCGACGTTTGCTGCCTAACCGAAACCCGTTTAAAAGACTCCAGCACAACGCTGCGATTTCACTCACTATTTCCAGGTTCAAATTGCACATTCACCTTGCGCTTATCTGGAGATGCGACAGCGGCAGCCTCTGGTTGCGCCGGCGTAGGAGTTGCATTAAGCGCGCGTGCTAAGGCAGCGCTCATTGACTGGTTCCCGGTCAACAGCCGCCTTTGTGCAGTCCAACTGGAAAGTGCAGTGCGATCTTCCAACCACGGGAACAGTAAGCGCTGCTTATTCATTGTGGCGGCGTACGCTCCTACGGACTGCAGTTCGGACGAAGCTAAAGACGAGTTCAACCGGCAACTCACCGACCTCCTCCACAAAAAACGCCGCACGGACATCGTGATACTCGCCGGAGACCTAAATGCGCAGGTCGATAGACTAGAGGTTCATGAGCGCGAACTTGGGGGTTAACACAGCTATGGTACTCGCAGGACGGACAATGGCGATCGACGCCTGCAACTGTGCGTCAACCACGGCTTGTTCCCATCTAGCACCAATTTCCGACATTTCTGCCGCCAAGGAGCCACCTGGCGACCTTTGGCGCCTGACCAAGCTTGGACGCAGATTGACCACATCGATCTTAGTTACCGTTGGTGAGGCTGCATAACGGACTGCAAGTCAATTTGGAATACTTCCTTACTTCGGACCATGCGCTCGTGTGTGCTAAGTTCGTTTTGCGTTTTTGAGGCACCCAACAGCGTCGCCAGAAACGGCTTGACACAGACAAACTCGTCGCCCCAAATGTTCTTGTTGTGTCCTCAGTTCAGGTTGAAAAACGCAGGCATATTTTACCTGAAGCTGTTCAGCAATAGTTTGACGTGGATGAGGTGGTACGGTTGTATGATGCACCATGACGTTCGTTTCGGAACACACGATTCAATGGCACACTAAACAAATTCAATCTTTCGATCCAATCAATCCCAAGAAGATTAATGTCAATAGAAGAAATTAGGTAGATGGTTCCACAGAGCTTCAAATTCTTAAACTTAACTTCACATGTAAACTCACCATCTAACCTCAGTGGTTCATCGGATGCATTTTGGGCGGTCAAATTTGTGTGCCTGAGTGGTGGTCTACCGAGTCTCATCCATGATGATCGAGAAAGTATGGTAATGCCGATGCCGTATCTAGTTGCAACGATATGGGAACATTATTAATTTCAACGGTAAGGTACTTTCGCTGGCGAGGAAGCAACTCGACTTGGTTCCTCACCAGCGCGATTTTCCGTAGAGTAGGCTGGTCGAGACCTAACAGTTCTCGGCGCAGTTCAAAACACATTAGCCTCCAACCTGCGTCCCCCATCCTCCGATGTTGAGACATACCGAGCACAGATCCAGAGCGCCCAGAACGCCACTACCCTGGTCTGTGGTTTCACTAGACGAGCTGCTAGTTATTTGATCTCTGCACAGTCTCTCCAATTAATGGGAAGTCGTCGAAAAATTCCCGCAGGAGTTGAGTACAAGGCACTACGCAGAACCACAGGTGCTGAGCTCAGACAACTCCACAGGAAGGATTGCGAGGTTTGGTGGACACCGCCCCTCGTTGAGATGGAGCGGGTAGCCATATCAGGAATCTCCCGCAAACTCTTCCAACTTATTCGCTTCACGTGAGGCAGGAGGCCAACAGTGAGTGAAGATTTGCGTGAAAATGACGGTGAACTAATTCACAGTGGTCGCCGTCATCTGGTACGATGGGCAGAGCACTTTGAAGATCAGTTCAACTGGCCACTAGCGCAACCGAGTCCATATTCAGCAGTTCACAATGTTCCCTGGTGCGTGGAGGTTTCTCCACCGACTGAGACTGAAAATTCAAAAGAGATTCGCCTACTGAAGCGCCACAAGTCACCTGGCCCTGATGAACTTCCTCCTGTCCTCTTCAAATATAAGGGTCCTGCTCTCACTCGCGAACTGCCAGCTCTCTTCCATCAGATTTGGACTACTGAAGCCATTCTATCCGACAGGAATACAGCGGATGTTGTACCAGTTTACAAAAAAGGAGACCGGACCATTTGATTCAACCATCGTATCATCAATCTCATTTGTGTCGCATCCAGACTGCTCGCTGCCCTACTCTTGCGGAGGCTCAGTTGCGTGTATATATGTAGATATACAGTCGCCCCATGCTGAGGCTGATGCATTCATGATGTTCCTTCATCGCAGCTGGGTCAAGCCAATTTACACTTTTAGCGGGATAAATTTCATTCCACTTTATTTGGCTTGTCCTTCTACTTGAATAATCTTCTGTTGACTGGCCACTTTGCTTGCGCTAATTGTGGTTATCTTTGTTAAATTTGTTGCGTTTGTAGCATTTTTAAATAACTTCTGGACAATTTGTACTTATCACGGGTGCGTTGCTAACCAACCTACTTCAGAGGTAATTTAGCGAAGAGTTATTTCGTCATGGCCGTATGATTTCATTTCAAGTGATTGGCTGTTGTTTGACATCCCCGGTGTGGCTGCGCTTGATGTGCACGTTGACAAGGTGCTTATCTGTCTATTACCCACTAACTCGTCCATACTGGCTCCAGGAGACAGTTGGTCGTTGCTGGAGGGGACAGGGTGCATGGTTCTTGTGGCCGTGCTAAGCTCGAAAAGTGGTCCCATGCACTCAGTGTGGAGCGGACTACGGTCCAGCCACCGCCTTGTGTGCGCTTGATTCCCCAAATACAGCATGCTTGTGTTTGCCTGTGAAGGAGCGTGATCCGGCTCCGTTGATGAAATATGGCTCCCATCCACATATCTCCCGGTTTTATTCCTTCGGGTTTACACTGGATATGGGGTGTGTGAATGGAGCTGTGGATAGTGCAGCGTAAGCTACCCATGGTCCCCTGTAAGCGCAGGTGCCTTGTGGCTGGGCACAGTGACAGGTAAATTCGAAACCGGATGCTGCCACCCATATAGTCGCTTAAACCGACGACCCACTTATCCCATGATCTATATTTTCCCACTGTAACCCCCTAAGGGACTTGTCAATCACCTGCTTTTTTACTCGTGATAAATCACTGTTCATAGTCACCCATCCGTTAGCAAGCGTGAGTATATTCCACTTTGGAATGAGTTTAATTTCAAAACCTTGGCTAGATGCTGCACATGAGTGGACGGGAGTATGTTTGTGGGAAATTCTGTGCCCCATGGGTATTGTCAGCCATTACACGCTCTACGAGACCGCTACTTGCAGCAAAACTGATCTGAACACGGTGGTCTTCACCACAAAATCCAACGATAAAAACTCGGTGACCAAACGCTACGATATGTTTAATTTGGTTTTAGAGGTGAAAATTCCGGTCACTTAAAATGGTTTGCCTTGTGTGCCAATTATGAGCAGTTCTTCTCTTCATTCGTTTGCAGATTGTTCTGTTTACGAAGACTCTTAGACAATTCCTCTCTCAAGTAAGTACCACGCCATGATATGTCCAGTTTAATTCATACCAGTATTATGTATTCGGTTGCAGTGACCAAGACACAGAGTTAATACATGAGAGTTTGTAATGTGTTCCAAGTTTGTGATTGGGTTACTACACGCAATTATAGTGGTGGTCTTGGTTTGTGACACCATATTCTCCATGTTGAGTTCCGGGCACATGCCCGCTGCTGGCTTAGTGAATTCCTAACCATTGGTGTAGGCATCGAACGCAACCTAGTGATCGAGGCATCTAGACAGCAATAACAGGTTGAAATCCAAGTAGCAAATACTAAATCGGTAAAGGAATTATTCTTACTAGTGGAAGTTTTTGTGCTAGAAAAGATAATCGAGCCATGTGATGTCAACGCTTCTACCATACCATGTAGATCAGTCGATCTGAGCAGATGTTAAAGGTGGTGCTAGTACAGCCGCGATAACGGCTGGCGCACTGAAACGTACGAGCTGCATTTTGAGTAAGAAGAGATGTTGGGGAGCCGGTCGTTTCAAATCATATGAATGACAACGCAAGAATTAACCCGTTCAGAATGGATGCTTTGGGCGCATTGCACAGGTATTACTGCAGATACTGTTTGACAGAATGGACGAACTCAAACTGGCGAATGGTGAAAAGGAATTTGGGTTATGACCACGCAGTCAACCTGGTTAGTGAATTGAAAATGAAAAAGCTGTGGTATTCGTTGAGTGTACGTGCTCACTGAACAGAGAACGAAAGTGATGATCCGTGTTAGCAAGTGTCGATCAACCCAGTTTACATTTCACTATGGGGGTTCTTGCAACCCGCTTTCTGGTAAGTTGTCGCTACTGAAGGGATGTTGGTTAGGTTGTGAGACTAGCCGGTGAGTTGCTTGGGTAGGAAATTCAGACAAGAAGTGGACTGATGAGATCTGAAGAAAAAGTACTTCACAGGTGCTCCCTGAATATTGAATACTTTCTTGAATTATCGCAGCAAATTAGTCAGATGTAAACAGGTGAGTAGTTTACTTTTTGATGAGTTTACTGTGCTTTCATGATTTATCTTGAGAAGCTCATTCCCGGCTCTACATCAAATGTATTCACCACAGGTTACACCACGCTGGCTCGGCCGTGCGGTAGCCACGCCTACACAAGCCAGCCATCCGGCTACTTCGATGAGTAAGAAACAGATGGAGCAACATCGTTGAGACCCATGGCACCATGCATCATACACCCACACCCACCCACACACACACACACACCGAGGTGCACTTTACAGGGATGTTGGCTTATTGCGCCAATTCCACATGAATATTTTTTGCCTTCCCCCAACAACCTGTTCCATGGAAGAGGAAGAATTTCGGTACTTTCGATATATCGCTGTACATGTGAATGAGTTTTGAATCGAGTCGATGATCTCTTCTTTTTCCCAATTGATGAAGATGAAATCAAATCACCCAAGCGCGTCAAAATATGATCTGAGGTGCGAGAGATGTAGTGAATATAAACCATATTAAGATAAGAAACAGAAAAAGAATAACGAAGAGAGGTAGAGGAACGCTAATGAACGCGAAAGGAAGGAATCCGCGAAGAAACAATAAAAAGCGCGTTGAATAAAAAATAACATAGACAAAATTTGAATGCAATTCATTAGCAGCAGTGACTGCTTTGATAGTTAACTGAGGGCCACATATCGACCATCGAGCCACATGATGGAAGCTTCGAAAACGCATCCCCACACGATAGTGAAAGATATGCCAAGATGTGGATCGATAAGCAAAGGCGCGGTTGTGCGGTAGTTAGGTCAATCTAGCCTGACGAGTGATGGTTAACATCGCACGCCAAGTAAGTGAATAGCCAGATGGGTGAAGGATAGACTGAAAGGAGGGTTAGAGCCCATGTAGGAGAACGAAGCGGAGTAAGCGCAGAACCCATTTGCTGTTATTGAGACGCCCAGCACCATCGATCGGGGGTGAAATATTCCAATCGTCGCTTAACAAATGGGAAAAAACAAAACAGCATGTAGAAAGGTTGTTCAAATTGAGTCCAGTTCACGTCACCGCGAGGTGTATTGCCCAGTAATCCAAGTGCAGAACTACGTAAGTTGGCGTAGTGTCAACTGCTTGATTATAAGGCTCCGTATATCCGAGGAAGTCAACGACGGACTAAGCTGGGCAGGTGGACAAAGATTTTGCCTCTGCTCATATTTGTTAAATACAGGTGTCCGCTGTATGATTGACATTGGTGGTGCGACGAGCAGTTTTGGGTAAAGTGCGATCGGAATAAAGTCAGGAGATAAATAAAGAAATAAATGATATAGTTCTCCATAGACGCAGACCAACTACTTGGTCTGATCACTCTGTAGAACACAATCGCATAGTGGAGATGGTTCGCGTTTTACGAAGCAGTTTCCAAGAGTTTTTGGCTTGTTCAACTAGTTAAAAGCAATCAAAAGATGGAGAAATTGGGAGTCTCAATAAATGTACGTATAGCCAACAGTTCAAGTAAAGTAATACGACCATCCGTGAAATCGACTCCCGGGGACTTGTTTCCCTGAGGGGTAGGTAGTCCCTCGAAAGGCGTCATCCGCACTTTCACGCCCAAGCTGGTCATGTCCTAATGTGGTGTAAAAGTAAGTAAGCCGTCATCGTGTAAACGCGTTTCTTTTATCGTTTAGTTAGGATCGCCGTTATGTGCTAAGCACTTCCACCATCCAGTTCATTGCACCAGATAGCCGTTAAGAGTCCGTAATTTTAGTATTCGCCAGTGAGTCGTCTGTGACGATTCGCTTTGCGGTAGATGTATTAGTCAACTTAAAGGCTTTAAACTGTCACCTCAGGAGAATTGCCCAGTCGCGGCCAACAATGGAAATAAGGAAATATAGAAAAATAGAAAAAAGAACAATAAATGATGAAAAAATGACGTTTGTCCGGCGGTTGTTTGATTCCAAGTATACATAAACATATCTGATTGTTCGGAAAGTAATTTCGTTTTATTTAAAAATCAGTGTATTTTCACTGCCAACTTCACACCTAATCCGCATAATCAATTGTTATGTTGAAAGACGATATAGTAAGGGTTGCTTGTGAAAAAGTTCGATTTATTCTATGCAGTAGTTTCTTGTTGGCGCCATTTCGAAAACGGGAATTTGAAATCAATACTATCAAGAAGGGAAGAAAGGTTGTTCAAGCAAGAAAACACTATCAGATGTGTATGGAAAAAATGTATTGATAGAGTGCCGGTGCCAAAACCAGTTTTCAAAATGTCGATCCGACAGTAATTAGTTAATTAATTGCGTTAATTAAGTAAGCAACTAATTGCTTCAATTATTTAAGCAATTTGCATTAGTTGATGTAAACCGGCGAACAACAGCTCATAAGATCGCTGAGATGTTAAATTTATCTAATTCGACCGTTCATGATCATTTGAAATGCCTAGGATTCAGCTCAAACTCGATCTATGGGTTTCTCATGTTCTTAAAGAAAGAAATTTGTGCCGTCGCGTTGACGTCCGTGATTTACTTCTCAAACGTAAAAAAATATTCATTCTTGAAGCACATCATCACTGGAGACGAAAAATGGGTTGTCTACAACAATGGTAAACACAAGAGATCAAGGAGTAAAAAAGATGAACCGGCTCCAACCACTTCGAAAGCCGATACTCATCAAAAAAGATACTACCTGTTTGGTAGGATTTCAAAGGAATCGTTTTGTGAGCTTCTACCGGAAAACACGACGATCAAATTTGAAATATACTGTCATCAGCTGAACAAATTGAATGATTCAATTAAACAGATAAGTCCACAAGGAATCAATAGAAAAGATGTAGTGTTGCACCAAGATAATGCGAGACCTCATACAAGTTCGGTAACTCGTCAAAAGCTTTTACAGGTTGGGTGGGGTACACTGCCCCACTCACCATATTCTCCAGATATGACACCTGATTTTTATTAGTTTCTGTCTCTACAAAACATTTTGACTGTAAAACATTTACTTCAACTGATGAGGTCAAAAATCATTTGGATCAGTTTTTGCCAGCAAAGAACAAACCTATTATGAGCGTGGACTCAAGCTACTGCCAGAAAGATGGCAAAAGGCATTGGATCAGAATGGAGAATATATAGTCTAATAAAATATTCATTGAAAAAGGCACCACCAATCAAAATATCACAGTCAAGACCATGGCAACCGAAATGATTGCCTCAAGAGTTTCTGTGCACATAGCACAGGTTGATAAGCCTTAATTAACAACGCCTCACTAATTGCTAGTATTATCGGGTTTTTGTTACGTAATAACACTTTGAACGCTGTCTCGGGGTTCACGTGATGACGGGTTGTCATGAGGTGCTTGGTGATAGACGATGCAGGGCTCCGATTGATTCTCAGATTCGTCCCATCAATCGGAGCCCTGCATCGTCTATCACCAAGCACCTCATGACAACCCGTCATCACGTGAACCGCGAGACAGCGTTCAAAGTGTTATTACGTAACAAAAACCCGATAATACTGGCAATTAGTGAGGCGTTGTTAATTAAGGCTTATCAACCTGTGCTATGTGCACAGAAACTCTTGAGGCAATCAATTCGGTTGCCATGGTCTTGACTGTGATATTTTGATTGGTGGTGCTTTTTTCCATGTATAAAATCCCTTATGTGATTCTGATCGTACTGTGTTTGCAACTGATGAGAAAATATTCATTCATCATAATAAAATTGCTTTCATTTTCATCGAAAAAACGAAATTACTTTCCGAACAACCAGATAATAGAAGAGGAAGAGTTTCAATGAATCACGGGCAATGCTAATCTTTAGCAAAGCAAAGATTCCCATTTCATTAATATGAATCAATATCAGAAATCATTTCAGGGTAAAGAATTCTTTTCGGTAACTCTCATCAGACCCAAACATTTACATAACAGTGATTGTGGAGATAGCGTCAACTGGGGCTGGGATTGACTTCTTGACTGTTTGAATGACCAAAATCGATAACTTGAGACAGAGATGGAGATGGTAGACCAAGTAAACTAAATAAACATGTGTACACAAGGCTCAGTAGTACAATGTAGTTAAGTAGTTAAGATAACAGCCAAATAACTAAGTAACGGTGTCCGTTTGCCAAGGTAGTAGTATCGGCCGTATAAATCGTTTTTGGACACATAATTCCGGCTTTAGATGATGAATGTACATAGCCTCGGCGATGGATAAGAGCTGTTTGCGGAATCCTTAGGGGAAGTGTTCAGGTAATGAGTAAATGACTTTGAAGTCATTCTCTGAAGCTGTATGGCCACATTCAAGGAGGTGCGACATGATAGAGCTGTCTGAAGACCACATTTCGCTTTTGTAAAACCATGCCGGGATGTGTTCACGAACCCTCTGAGATAGACGTCTCGTCGTGCGACCCACGTATCGTGCACCACAGGAGCACAAGTACTGATAAATAATCATTGAACGGGTCAACGGCGGTAGTCTATCCTTCAAGGGTTTTGTAAGCAACGGCTTATTGTGAAAAACGATTCTCAGGCGGGCCGCGAAATAAGTTTTCTCGACAACATCTTTCAGGCTGTTATCTTAACTACTTAACTACATTGTACTACTGAGCCTTGTGTACACATGTTTATTTAGTTTACTTGGTATACCATCTCCATCTCTGTCTCAAGTTATCGATTTTGGTCATTCAAATAGTCAAGAAGTCAATCCCAGCCCCAGTTGGCGCTATCTCCACAACCACTGTTATGTAAATGTTTGGGTCTGATGAGAGTTACCGAAAAGAATTCTTTACCCTGAAATGATTTCTGATATTGATTCATATTAAAGAAAAGGAAGAACAACTCGAAGAGGTCTCAAAATGATACTGACGTGAAACCGACAACCACGGGTGATCGAAAAGGAGGGAAATCGATACCGCAAATGCACTTCGTGGGACAATGGGAACTGCTACAGGTACCCAGATTGCTATCTCCGGGGAAAGAGAGAAAACTGCCATCAATAGAGAGTAATTGCAAAAAATGAAAACCTCTAAGGCAACTTTCCACCTTGGTCGGATTGGACGTGGGGCTACATAGATAATGCTCCTACTGATCCTGGCTCAAAACCATGTAACACTGCCATCAAATTAGTTTTACAGTAAGAAACAAAAGAAAACGAGGTTTAAATGTAAGAATGGGTCTGACGGAGTGACAAGTACGTTGTGCACTTTCTAAGTATTCCCCGGTCCTTGTAAGCATAGCTCCTCCATCGTTATCTGTCGTATTCGCAGGAGAAATCGATTTAGCTCAGAACTGTGAGTTAATGGTGTCCTAGCCTGTCAGCCTAGCCCAAATTGAGAACATTACTAATGATCGCGACAAAGCTTGAGTATCAGGCTCTGACAGATGAAACATGCAATGCAGAATAGGTGAAGAGGAAGCAGAGAGAACTCTGCTGTTGAGACGCAAGGTCTCTATGTTCGGGATCAATACAAGAGAGCGAGTTTGTCCGCGGTAGCAAGGGTAGCCCTCGAATGGTCAGTGAACAGCCATCGTGCTGGAGTTATCCAACACCGTGGCCGCGGAAAACCACAGGACACCGCACTCACAATGGGCTGAGTGGCTACCGCTGAGTTACCCACGTGTTCCATATCCATATTGCGAATCAGGACTAAGAGACCGTGGGAAATGCGAGTTGGAAACGCGAACAGTGCAGAGATAGCAAACACCAGTGGAGGGTTTAGATGTTGCTCTCTCCCATCAGTGCATTCCACGATTCCTTTCGGCCCTGTTTGGACTCAGCACAGTGACCATGGCGATAGCCGCCAACCATTCTGTGTCGAGTTCCACTCCAATATCAGGCCATCTCTATCTGAGGAGTGTAAACCAAGACGAAACCGTCGGTTGTGGAATGCAGTGATGGGAGAGAACATGGAAACCCTCCACTTCGGATACAATCCCACTGATTGAAACGGAAGCGGCTAACTTCAACATGAACCGAAGTCACAATTGAGATTGTGTGTCGCAATCTAAGACACACGGCGAGTACTCCGAAACCGGATAATCAACAAAGCAGAGAGCAGTTCAAGGTTCGTACAAGCACTGAATAGCTGCAATCGCGTAGCGGTGCCCCACGACCATGTGAACGCCAAAAGGCACAAACAGTAAGACGATGGTGTATCAAGTGCGTACGCGAGCACCTCGAATAACACCGCGTGAAGAAAGTAAGCACATCAGACGTGCTCAATCGGGGTAGCCTGAGGTTAGCTCATCCTACAGTGAAATAAGTCTTTGGACTGAGTAAAATCAGAAAGACCACGCACCAGATTACCCAACAATCGAGATGGTGGCATCAAGTTGCTAGGCATTTTACTGAGAGCGAATCGCGCGAGCCAAGCTACAAAACATGGTTACTGTTGTGTAGCACACTACGAGCCAAGACAAAGCCTGAGCACCGATCGAGATCTGCTATACATGAACCACCAATTACACTGTGTGGAAATGTGAAGTGATACCACAATGCGGCCACTTTCCGCCGGACACCGCCAGACTGTCATCTTACACGCCGCTTATTGATTTGCATGGGCCGTTTGTCCACCGTGATCGGCTCAACCTACACCTGTCCTGTCCGCGATCATGTGGAGTTTGGACAGGTCAATTTTACGTTGTCCACCTAGCCACTGCAATACTAGTCAGGTGGCCAGGGTTGTACTTGATCCGACTTTTGCCCGCTCATCTCGCGTCGGCTACACTACTTCAGTTGACCAGTCGCCATTGCACGCCATGTCGACAGCTAGATTAGTTAGCGTGCGTGTGCTGTTCAGTCACTGTAATTCATAGCCAAACAGTGAATGATGAGTTTTGAAACGAAATATACCAAATTCTAACGAGAACGATAGAAGCATCCTACAGTTACTCAACTGCTCCTCATGTTCACGCGTGACACAAATGTACGGCGTCATCAACGGCAAGGGAACGCTATTTTTAGCGAAGATCCGCGAAATGTGTGTCCAGAAATCTATTGGACTTCAGCACCGATTTCACCTCAACAGCGCGTGTCGGAAAGCTGCTACAAACATTTGACGCTCGAAGCACACATGTGATAGGCAACTCGCTTCCGGTACTACAAGCTTGTATCGGTGTTCGCGTGCTGTACATGCAGAGCAATGGCTCCGGAAAGTCACGAAAATATAGGATGCTGATTACGATGAGGTCGACAGACAAGGCCAGAGGCGTGTCAAGAGGGTCGCAGGGCAGCATTTTTAGTGCGGAATATTGTTCGATACCAAGCGCAAGCTCATCAAAAGTATTTCCATAATCGAAATGGCAAAAACGAAGGGCGTTAAGCATAGTGAGAGCGAAAATCAAGTTGATAATGTGAACGTGGATATCTGGGCAACAGAACCCGATACTGACGGCATTGATGCAGCTGGAAATGTTTGTAATGCTAATGCAGAAGTTGTGCACGAAATTGAAGAATGGTAAAGCTAACAACTAGATGGCATAATAACAAGCTCATCAACTACTTTTTAGGAAGTGAATCTGTGGCCAGTTCAGATTGACCACGAAGTTCACACTACGCTTGTCCGGCTGGGACCCACTGTTGTGCTGCACTTCGATGATGAAGGTGAAGTAGTGTGACCTGGAACGAATACAACAGTTGAAGCTAGAAAGCCAAAAACGAAATCGAGTTTTCCTGATTTGCGAAACGGAGAGCAAAAATTGCAAACATGAATGGTGCATTTCCCTTTCAAAGAAGCTTTGTTTTGTTTTTGCTACAGACTGTCCTCAACGGGACACTCTAGTTTTGCAACTGAGGGTCTTAGAAACTGGTGGAGATTAAATGCAAAGTATATGAACCCAAATTCAGAAAATCGCATGCTCAGGCATTTCTCAGCTAGGATGAGCTAAAGATCCGGTTAGTTGGAAGAAAGGCAATTGGCAAAATAGAGCAAACACATGCGGAAAAGGAAACAATAAAGTGGATAGAAATTCTAGCTAGATAACTGGATGTCGTCAGGGTCCTCGCGAGGCAGAAGACAGTACTGCGTGGTCACCGAGAAGACAACCAAGATGAAAAAGGACAGGAAAATAGAGGGTAGTTTTTAGAATTAGTGTATTTGCTGGCCATAAGCATTTGATGACGTTTCGGCTGGGAAAGAAAATAGCAGTTCTTATTCGTTTCCAAGTGTTCGAAATGAAGTTGTATTTTGACAAAGCAGATCAGCTCAAGGAAAGCAAGTGGTTTGCCTAATTTCCATAGCACTACCGATGTACCTCACGAAATTAAGGAGAGGAAATTAAGGATCGCTACATAAATATGGATAAAAAGGAAGTGAAAGTTTAGCAGTCGCTTCTTCGGGGCCAACAACAAAAGCACAAGGAAAATTGCTAGAATGATTTTAAGAGAATTGGAGAAGGATGGACTTCGGACTGAAAACTGCCGTAGCGGGCTAACGATCGAATGTTCATAGATGCAACTGAGAAATTAACAAAAAGGCTACATTTGTGCCATGCCCGGATCATTCCCTGAATCTGGCTTGTGTACATACAGCTTCTGCGACAATTCAGTGTGCTAGAGATTTTGCTACAATGGAGCGGTTGCTCACGTACTTTATACATCGCTGGAACGTCTTGACTAAAGGGACTAGTCGAGCAGTCGCAGTAAATGTTGTGGTGAATAAATACACAGAAATCGTCACTGCTCCGAAAGAGCTGAAGCGAAGAAAATGCAATTTCAAGATCAGATACTTCTTTAATTATCATCTCGGAACTGTCGTTTCGGTTTGTCTCATTTTTGAGCTTTTGGAGATCTGTTCACCCTGAAATCAAAAATGCACATAAATATCCTCAAACAAAAGGGCTAAATCTAGAACAAAGTACTGTTATGCTTATGACGTTAAAAATTTTCATTCTTCAGAATAGGGAGAATATAGTGAAGAGTGAAATGGATGAATCCAAAAGCTCTGTTCGAAATTAGAATGGAGAATCAAGTCCGCAAAGAAAACGAGTGGATGGGGAAGAACTGTTTGATACAGCGAGGGGATTTGATGCAGAGTTGAAACGAAGAATGCTGTTTGTCACAGACAGGTTCATTGATGAAATACGTCGAAGAGTTAAGCAAATTCAAGACTTTGCAAACAAATATGTTTGCCTTATACCGTCAAATCTACTTGATGGTAATTATGATTGTCCGCTCAGCGCAAGAGGATATGAATTCATTGACGGAAGGAGATTGTAGTGCTTTGTGAAAGCTTCAGAAAACAACAAAATAAATGGAGCCTTTGAACGTTTGAGATTCATTCATAAATATTATCTTGGGGAACTTTCATTGAATATTGTGATCTTGTTATGCAACTTTCCTATCCGAGCTATAGCATAGCCAGCTATGAGTGGTCTTTCTCAATAATCATGTTTCTAAAGAGCTACATTCGATCAGCAATGAATCAGATAAGGATCATGAACTTGGCAACCATCGCCATAGAGAGGTAAATTCGCAATGCACTACTTTTTTGATAGCGTTATAGACAACACGTATTGTAACAACACAAATACCTGCATTTACAGTAACAACCCAAAACTAGATATTTCACTGTAACTCTGAGACGAAGTATATTCGTAAGGGTGAGGATTTACGGATTTGGAAAGTACAAGAGAGGAGGGACAAAATCGTACAGGCAAACGACAGAAATATCACATAGGCCTCATGACAGCTAAGTAACATCGAGGGAAGAATCATGGCCAGGTGGCATTACCAGTACGCCGGTGCACTGTTCCGACGTTTTGCTGCCACAAAAAGTCGTGCGAGAGCTGGGTGTACGGCAAGATTGCCCGTACACCTACGAGGACTCGATCTGGCGATCTCCGGATTAGAAAGCAAAGGTGTAATCTTTCGGATAGCGACCAAGTGGGAACCAGTGAAAAGGTATGAGGCGATGAAATACATATTTTCTGAGTGAATGGATCCAAGAGGGGTGCGAGGAGCTATCGTGGAGGGGAGAAGAATGGAAGGAAAATCCCACTGATAGTAGTTTATTGAAATACAAAAAATAACACATTTATCTTCACATATGCGGTGCACATGACCATGAGATCGTGGACAACAGTTAGGCAGAGCCTTTACAAAAGAAGTTCGTAATAGATTGTACGCCTTTGATGGTCTTCCGCTTTTTGGGTCCTTGAGACTGAAAAAAAGAAAGTTAACAAAATTAACGTCAAACTAAACCATGGGAGGTAGTACATGCTAAAGAAAAAAGGGCAAATTAGTGACAGTCGGTGGTAGGTGCGCACCAGGATTTGGAAGAAGGGTTCGAGGCGGTCCACTTTGTTACTGATGAACGCACATTAGGAAACTCACTTCAGCACCCTTGGATGAGCCAAACTTGCTCAAAGAGTTGGAATAGTCTTCGGTAGGCTGAGCGGAATCCTGCATTAGGCACAGGGAAGACGTTAAAGGAGATGGGCTAATTAGTACTGATACATAATATATTTATTCACAAGTCTGAGAACAGACAAAAGTGCCGTCAGAACAAAGGCTGTAACGGTATAAGAAAGTGACAGTTCAATAAAACAAAGGAAAAATTGCTTTTTCATTACTTTTGTTTTCTTTTTTAGTATTTCAGACACGCCGTTTTGAGTTTTTTGTGTAAAATTTAAAATTGGATGAAAGGGAAATGTTTGAACAGCACTGACTCCCCTGATTTCGGTTACGAGTCATAACTTCCAAAACTTGCAGTCATTTGGTGTCCTCATCACGTGGTCCCCAACCTAGAAGACGGACAGATCCTGGTGAAGCCAAACATACGGTGATATTCTTGATATTCCTCTTCGACGTTAGCGGTTGTCCACCCCGGCATTTTCTCTACTCACGCACAGAAATCGCAAATAATGCTCGGCGAGGAAGTCGATTGGTTGGCATGCGCAAAACGTGAACAAGCCAAGGCAAACGGTTTTCGAGAATAATACCCTGGAGATTGGGATTGTTTGCTCCGAGTACTCGGCTTCTAACTTCCGAGTCGATAATGCGGTGTTACCACACAATAGCGATCAAACGCAAGCAGTGGTTGTCGAAAGTGGCTAGTCATTTCAGATCTTCTACACGAACAGGCAAGGTCTCGCAGCCGCACAGAAGGACCGCACAGACAGTGGCACTGTACAGTCTGCCTCTGAGCCTTATACTGATGTCGCGGCGGCCCCACAGGTGCGTCAGATTAGTAAACGCCAGGCGAAATTTAGCGGTTCGCTGAGACACTTCATGCCCAACACCGCACCCCGCCGTGATGCAACCCCCAAGATAAATGAAGCGATTCATCTGCTTCAGGCAATCACCTGCAATTGTGAGTGTTGGCACCAGCACTTACCAATTTTGGGGCAAGGTTATACACGTGGATGTGGCAAAATACAAAGCATAATGTGATGCCTCGATAAATAAGGGGTTCAAAACGTTTGGGCTGGCCTGTGAGTCTTCCCCCAGCAAAGTGATGTAAGCAGCATAATCCAAGTAAGAAATGCTGTCCGCGGGGAAGAGCTCAACTCCACAGCTATCGGCTTCCTCCAGAGCGCGGTGAAGAACATCATCGATAGCCAAGTAGTGATAAAAAGGGCATAAAGCAGTACGCGGGTACTGCGTACTGGCGTTTCGCTGCCGCGCAACCACCAGCAATCGCCCGGTACGTACGCAGGCTCGAACCCGCGCCCTCGGATTACAAGGCAGGCTTGTGATCTTTAGGGTTATTGGCCAGGAAGATAGGCGAATTACATCTGGGCTATCGAACTGGAAAGGCTGATCCAATAATAAAAGACAACACGATTCAGTAAAAGCCAGGATGGCGCACGATCACTCCAAGTGGGCAAATTGCATCAACTAAGCGGGTCAATTTCTACGCCAATCCGGCTGAAAATAATCTGACGTTCCACATACTGAAAAACTAAACAAAAATCCAAAGTGAGTGACAATAACGGCAAGTCATGTTTGTATAAAGAGCTGCTAATGCAGAGTACAGCCAGAGTGAAACGCTATCCGTATTAGTAAGGCTAAATGGAGACCCCATTTCGGAACATCTGAGGAGGCTGCAAAAATGGCGACTAGACCAAATCGAAGAACACTGGACGGATCGTGTGGTCAAGTTGAATCCTCTAGAATAAATTGGGGGCTTCAAATGCACGCAAGCCTTTTCCTGTGTAAATAATACCTTTTCCAGGACGATACATATGGGCAGGGGTGTAAGTGGTTCACAGTGTAAAAAAGCAGTTGAGTCATGTACGTGAACTCGCATTTAGGCAAACTCAGGCATTTGGCGCGAGAAGAACCCAGCAGACACACTTACGTAAAACATGGGAACTAGAGGTTGCAACCATTCAAAGTCCCCGTATAAGAGAACAAACAGTCACTGAAATGACATGTTGCGAGGACATAGGCAATGCTATCAAGGCTTACTAATAATAAAGTATAGTCAAAAAACCATGACACCAAAATGTTTGAGAGGTCAAGGTTAAATAGGCGGCAGGTATGATAACAGGCCCAGATGTAGCAAGCCTACAACGATGGACAATATTGGTTGCAGTCTGTGGTCCCTCTAAAGCAAATACATGTGCAGATAACAGTAAAGCCCATAGTGAAATCACGAAACTATGGCGAGAGGAATATAATCCAGTCGGTGACATATCCAGGACACATGATATAGTCTGCTAATGATTTTTGCTTACGGTAGTCCTAACGGCCTATTCGAAATCGCCAAGTCCATTAACAGAAATCGGATTCGCTTTCTAGACGCCGTGTTTGGTAAACGGGAGTACAGTAATGTGCTGATAATGGAGAGTAAAAGCCGGAAAAAAGGACCCAGTTTTTTTCAATCGCAGTAGTATCGTCTCCAGAACCACAGAAGAAGAAAAGTCAAAGTGATACAGGTCAATTGAAAGATCCATCAAGCACTTTCCAGAGGCGGACAAGACGAGAAGAACAATATAAGGTAGTGAAATTTTACGGATTCGTCCCAGCTGTACACAAACCAGATTGTCTAATCCTTAAGCCGGAAAAGCATCAGGCGACCGTTTCGCCCTATTGAGCCTCGTCAGTGCTGCACATTCCCTTTACTTTGTTTAGCTTTTGTAGTGTGACTAATAAAATTTTGCAGTGCGGCAAATTAGCTGAGGTGTTTCCCACCCTCGGCTAACGTGCATTGACAATGGCGCATTCCCTCAGTCCACTGCAAGGAATCGAAAGCGTGACCGTTGGTAGACTGGGCCAAGTCAGCAACTTTGCCACTGAATCATGGGAAACAAGGGCAGACCGTCATAACTTGCAGGCCAAATATCGTCAAAAATTCTCCTACTCGTTAGTAGTTAAAATGGGGTAATTTAGTGCAACGGCGGAGCACTTGAAGATACACACGAAAGTAGATTTGACGAAACTCCCTGACAATCCACGACACGTTAACACATGGCAGAGGGAATATATTGATGCGACCGCATTGCTGCTCCAGGTTCATAAAAGCACCGCTTAAATGAGTCATCTTTTCGGAAATTACCAGCAACGCGAATTCCCATTGAACGTGGGGAAGCAAACACAATAATTTAGTGTGTCAACGACGCTGATAGGTCGACGTAGATGTCGGCAAAAAATGCGACCGATTTTCTGGTGCTGATGTATGGTAACTCATCCACCAATGTCGTGCACGACATCTACAAGAAGGGTGATTGACGAATTAGTCTTTGAATTCATAACTTTGTATTCACAAGGTTCACACTGCTGAAACAAACTAGATGGACAAGTGCTGATCGAGAATAATTTAGTACAAGCTTAACTCACTGATTTGCCAGTGGATGAAAGTGGATTCAAGTTTTCCAAGTTGGACTTTGAGTCCCCGTTAACAGGGTGCGTCGAAATACCCATGCGCTCAGCCAACTCTGAGGCCAATTCCGGGTCCAGATAGTCGGAAATGAGTTGGAAAGCGAATCGTTGGCATTCGTCGTCGGTTAGCTGATTGATCATTAGCGCCTCAGCCTGCTTCGAATCTAGAAAAGAGTAGTGTGCGGAATACCGGCATTAGGAAAAAATTAAGTAGCCAATCAGACAAACCAACGAACTGGTTTATCTGACACAAAATGACCCAGTTAACAAAACGCTCACGCCCAAAAAAGTATGAAATGCTGGTCTGATTATGGAAGAAGCAAAGTAACTAGAAAGAGTTACAAGAGGAACACCCAAAATGCAACAAGAATGGATTACATAACGGACAAGGTGATCATCCACTTCACTGGCAGTGACAGGAAAGGCGCCCACCCATCAGATAACAATACCTTGGTAAAGAGACTGCCACTCGGTAATGATAGAGCTATAGCGAACAGTCGATATGGCAGTGCTTGGTTCTGTGACAGATTGCATCATGAAGAGGGCCAAGTCTGATACACTGGCCATTTACTCTGAACATGCATAGGTTGCGGCCATAATCTTGTTTAGATGAAGCAATAGCGGACAGCGGCGAAGAACGCACCGAGGCCCCATGAAATGCACAGGTTCTTTCGACGACCATGATATATTAACCTGATTCAATTGCCAAAGGACGACACATGTCAAGAGGTGAACGTAGCGTCTGAAACCGTGTCTGTAATCCACGTGTCACCTTATGATAGTATCTCGGTGTCCTTATCGGGAGAAGAATAGGTCAGGGGATGATAAGGCACAACTCACCTGTGGCATCTAAGTTGATCTAAGCGACTTGTGGAGGCTCACAGCCAGCTCAACCACTATTCATTGTGCCAGCATCTATTGGCACTCTAAGTTTCCTTAGACGACGCATCGATGATGACACCCCGTTTGATAAAACGGTTGCAGTCCAGCTACTAAGCACCGCGAACACCAAGCCAATCCGAGCTATCAGTAGTCCATAAAGAAGGCCATAGTTTCACACTTAGGTATCCGACAGCTGGCTTTGTATATCTCTGTCGCAACGACACTGAACATTAATGTGGTGTGACGGTTTGTTCACCTTGTCGACCTATTGAGCTATACTCTGTGGGATCTTTGGGTCACTTAACAGCTACTCCTAGTAGGTTGGAGGTCAGACGAACTGTCTCCTGGTCCACCAAGTTGGGGGTTGAAATGGCATGGCGTCCGTTACTGTAAAACCGAATTGTGGTCGCATCCGCTGCGTTGCGGACAGGCTTTTGAGCCAAAGGCTTTGGTCGAGGATCCTAACGGTTCTCTTGTCTAGGTCAGGGCACACTGTCCGTATCTCAGCCCACGTACAAGCATGACTATTTCTTCAAATTGCAAGCCCATGCTGCATCGGCCGTCGCGCAGTTTATTAAGTGTCAACTCACATGCTACATACAGCAGAGCGGATAAGCGAAAACATGCTACTGCTTGCGTCTGTTTCTCTTACTCCCCTCCCAAACTCCATTAATAGCCTTCCTCAGATAATTCTCGGCTTAGTTGACAGCAATTGCAAAGTCACTGGAGTCAAACCAGTTGCAGCTATCTTCCCGCAATGGACAACAATCGCCAACAGCCACCCTGGTTCGTTTCCCTGACGGTGTTCAACATTTGCACTCCAAGACAAACGGGTCAACGGGCTGCACCCGCACGCATATTTGACAGACTGGATATTTGCGTGTGTTGTGTGTCCGAAACTAGGATCAATGACACTCACTGGGTTGTTGGATTAAGTGCCCGATTTAGGCACTCGCTATTAGTTGCACGCATCCCGACACACTGATGTGGCAACAACTGGTTAAGCTGGGGTGGATATGGTTCTCAGCTCCAAATCTAAATCATCGTTGTTTGTTTGAATTCCCGTGAACAGCCGTTTATGTTCAGTCCGTTCGACGACATCAACTAAGGTTGATTCACGGAATAGCACTAGACGCTGTTTGTTTGTGGTTTCCGCTTGTGACCCCCTCGGTTTTAGCTTTAATGCTGCGAAGGACGCTTTCTACCACGAACTGAACACGCTACTACGCAGTGTTACCAGTTCATATGCCATAGTTCTTGCAGGGAATATGAATGCGCATGTATGTTGTCTGAGCTCTTCAGAAACTCCGCTAGGTGGTAAGTATTGACTTAACTCCGACCGTTCGGACAACGGCGAGCGTCTTTTACAGCTGTGTGCGGAGCACGGGCTGTTTCCTAGTAGCACCGCTTTTAGACACAGTGGGCGCCGAAGTGCCACTTGGCGTCCACCTGTAGCTGACCAGCCATAGACCAAAAGAGATCACGTTGTCATAAGTTACAGATGGCGTGGTTCCATCCTGGATTGTCCCTCTTTCTGGCGCACTTTGGTCGACGCTGATCATGATTTGATAAGCTATCAATTTTCCATGAACTTAATCAGTAGGAACACCAAGCGTCGCTCCTGGCAATTGAGAAGTTATCCAGGCCCACGTTCAGGAAAACCTACCAGAATGCACTGCGTATCGAGCTTTCGCTCTCTTAACCTAGTGACAATGGGCTTCAACGGAATAGGATCTCGGCCGCCATGCATCATGCAGAAGTCCGCTTGCGGCATTATCAATCGTCCCTGCATCAGTCACTGGATATCCGAGAGGTCGGTGAACCTGCTGGAATCCAGAAGAAAACTCCCGACTGGTTCTGAGCACAATGTAACTAGGCGGGCTAGTATGCACGAATTAAAGCGGAGACTGCGTGCTGACAAGGAAACCTGGTATGTAGATGTTGCGAGCACGTCAAGTAACCCCGCGAAAATGCGCCACAAAATCCAGTGCGTGGGCTGCGAGACGCAGTTCGATTTCTGCCAACAATGTAGCAGGACCCAGCCGCTCGGAGTCAATGCACAACTGGGCTAAAGTGAACGATGTTCTTTCGTAAATCACCAGCCCTACGTGGTGATTCATTTCACCCACAAAGTGAACCATTGTCACAACTGTGATTCCGTCTTTGTGGGTCGTAAAAGAAATCTCAAAGGTCCGCTTCGTCTTGTCTTGTTTCCTCTTGTGGGTGTTTGGGAATCGCGCGGTCACGTGATCGTGTGCGGCTAAGTCTCCCGGGTCTAGTCCCCCGGTTGTATGCGTATTGTTGTCAGTTTTCGAGGACTCGGCGCCTTACCCGAATACGTGCGTGCATAGGGACCATGTTCAGGTTACGCGTAACTTTCGGTTAAACTAATGCCACCAGGTCTGCGCAAATCCACCACAGTAGGTATGTATTGGCAACCGTTTAACAAATAGACATAGAGCTAAACAAAACCATGGAAATCACCACATCATCATGGCGTCTTAGCTGAAGATGAGCAACACACTTCAGCTATTGTGGCGTAAGAAGAACGGAACGATTATTGTTACTTCCTCACTAGCAATTGCTCAATTTTTGCCGTTTTAAGTTGTTAAGCATTAGACATCAGAAACCAAAAAAGTATGTACACAAATCTTCCACTGGTTTCAACTACGCGCCACATCCTGCATTGTTTCTAGCCATCGGCACTCTTCGTTCTTTGGTCCCCAACAAGGTAGGCGTGTGGGTCCAACGGCAGCAAGACGTGAAGTCAACGATTTCATATGCTGACGCCAAGTGGACGGCTGACTACCACACGGTCTCTTCCAGCCAAGCTCTGCACGAGCTAAAAGAGCGCAATAAGGCAAACGCTCAGCTGGCATGGGCAAAACGCGACCGAGCCATCTTAGCTGACGCAGCAAAACCAGTTTGTTGAGAGGCATACTCGTATCCCCTATGACACGACGTCGGAGTTCACCATTAGAAATACGTTGATGCCACTACACACGAGCAATCCTCCACAAGCACCCATTGTCAAAAGCCAAGAGCCAGCGCATAACATCCACACGAACTGGCCACGACTCATTTCTATATAGCAACACCACTCCAACGGTGGCACTGTACACGCGACTATTTACCACTAGGGAGACATCCCGACGATGCCACAAGTGCTTCAAGTTGACAAAAACTGATCGAGCTTTAGCGATGTGGAGAGAAACTTCCTTCACAATGGGGCCACCAGCAGACACGCAGCTGTTCAGGTAGACAACGCTATCAACGTGTTCAAGCTGTGTATCTTCGCGAGTGAGCCCGGGAATGGGCGAGTGCCAATGCTGGAGCAGCACCTTACACTGCGATAAGGCGAAGCACAGACCGAACCTAGATGTCTCAATCACCAAACGGTTTGCATGCTCTGAGTCGTCACCAAGTAAAGCGATGTCATCGGCATAACCTAAGTCAGTCGCTCGTTTGCCCAACAGGAGTTGCAGTCTAAAATTTTGACAATCTTCCAAAGCTCTCGTGAGAACGTCTTCAATCGCAAAATTGAAGAAAAATGGGGAAATAGGACAGCTTGTCGTACACCGCTATTGACAGCGAATGAAGACGAAATCTTGCCATAGACCCTCACTCTGCCGGAGATGTGGAGATAAAGTGCGCGTAGGATGGCAATGTACTTTACTAAGACCCGGTTCTTTAGCAAGCAACGCCACAACGCAGGTAGATCAATCGAATCGAATGCAGCACGGATGTCTAAAAATGCAAGATTGGAGGCCTTTGGTAGAGGTGGCGGTGTTAGAGGATTTGGCGGAGCGTGAATATTTGATCGACCCACCCACAACCAGGACGGAAGCCAGCATGTTCTTCCAGGTGCTGCGATTCACAAAAGGGTGAAAGTCTACGGAGTAGAATGGATGCCAAAAGATTGGAAGCAACCGAAATGAGACTAATGCCCCGGTGATTGGTGCATGAATCGCGAGCACCCTTTTTACAAATCGAGGTAACTATTGACACCCCAGGAAGAAGGCACCTCTTCTACAATCCAGGTTTTGGAGAACAATGAGGTTAAGTGACTGATGATAACTGCGCAGTCCAATCTGCAGGGCTCAGCAAGGTTTCGATGTACCTCCACTGCTTTGGGGTGGAAAACTGATGCAGTTGGGTTAATCTGTTCGCAACGAAGGTTGTGAACCCTTTGGTCGTATTACGAACCAGCTGTAGCACCACCACCAAATCTGTCCGAAATGTCGGTGATCTCACTAATTGCAACTCTTGAACCACTTGAATA